CCTCGCGTTTGCTCAAAAAAATACGAACAAAATCACTTGATCAATGCCGAGGTTAATAGAAAGTCGGTCGTGGCAGTCATCTTTGTATTTGAAGGGTGGGAAGAAAGGAAATGAACGAGGATGTTCTTGTTACTTGGCTTTCGATACCACTTTGTCAAGTAACCGCTACTTGATAGGTTTATTTGAACGTTCAAAAACGGAAGCCAGTTTTTTCTCGGTTTCTCCCGAGTGAACTTTACGTACTCAGACTGCTCGTTCAATAATTCAAAGCATTTGTCCATCTCTTCCTGCGTACTGAAGACGACAAAACAATCATCTACATATCTACAGTAGAGTAGTGGCCGGAGATCGAGAACAGGGGCTTCTATCTTAGACATAAATACAATGGCGAGAGTTGGGGCCATCCACTGTCCCATTGCCAACTCCCTTATTTGCGCGAAATATTTCCCAGACCATCTGAAAATCGAGCAGTTTAGGCACTCATTTAAGAGAGCCATTAGCTGCTGGTTGGACAAGCCATGCATATTTATTCGTCCTTCATGTTCAACAAAGAGTTCGAAGAGGGCTTGCATGGCGGAATCATTCGACACGTTGGTGTACAGTGCGGTAACGTCGATGGACTCCATCACGTACGCGTTATTAGGAGACGCGTTGCATAGACATTATTAGGAGACGTAGACTTTGAAGTAAAAGTCAATATCCTTGCACAGGAGACTAAAACACCAACGCGAAAACTTTTTGAGGCTTTTTGGATAAATGCCAGAAACCCTACAATGAATAGCAGGGAGGAATGCCCAGAGGTCATATGCGACCTGACCCCGTATGTTCGCATCAATTTCTAATGTGGGATGGTGCAGTCATTAGCCATATGCGACTATAATCAGCCGTTCTAAATTTCCTCATTGGAAGTCACGTAAAAAGCAGTGAGTTTTTCGAGAAGCTGTTGCTCATGTAATTACCAAAGAGTTCTTCGTCTTTTTGTAAGTGTTATTGAAGCGTTTGGCCCAGTAGATTGTATATCAGCATGCCCTTCCAAGCTCTGAAGAAGGCGATGCTGCCGAAACGTCAGCTAGCGTTGTATTGTATTGTGTTTCTCTAAGGAAGTAAATGTATGCTGTTTAAAAACCTCGTGATTGCTGAACAAGAAAGCGATAAACTCAATTTTTTTCAATATGTATTCTTTCTTCGATGAGCTGACACGAGGTTGATAACGATATTTATTCATTTTCGGCTAACGTTTCGACGTCTTCGTCTTCCTCAGAGCCGATGATCCGAGTCGATGGCCCATGCTTGCTGTTCGTCTCGACGTTGCAGCTTCGCCTTCGTGTCGAGTCAGGTCTTCCTCAGTGAGCCATCTTCTCGAATGAGGCGTCCTCACTCAGTGATGCCCTTTTATACACGATGAATACATGAATAAATATCATTATTAACCTCGTGTCAGCTCATCAAAGGAAGAATACATATTGATTATTGATACCCAGGTTCAAGGAAAGTCGGTTTCGAAATATCAATTCTTTTCAGTAGATGAGCTCCATGTAGCTGTTGCATAGAAATGACCTACGCCTTTCTTGTAGACGTCATTATGTTCAGGTACAAGGCAAAGCCAGTCAAGCAAACCTAGTGAATTTTTCCTCTATCCTACAACAACTGTAAATGTATAACGAGTACAAAAAAATATAATGCCCCACTTTCGTTCGTCAGTAGAGCCCCTGGGTAGCTACGGAGAGTAATATGCATGAAAGTAGGTTTTACAGTAACCTTCTGGAATAGGCGATTACTTCTCTCATACGTATTTGTTTTTCCTCTGAATTTAGAATATTGGCAGAATATAGAATAAAATAGGAGAGTAACGATTCACGATATTTTTAAAGATTTTAGCTCAAATTATTTAACTTTCATCGATGTTATATTTTTAGCGCAAAAGGCGTGCTTGAATAAAATCATCAGGTAAAAAAATCGATGATGAAATAGATACGAAAGACATGTTTTTTGTCTATGCAGTGAGTTTTGATTTTTCTTTCTTTTCATCGCATTTAGGCTGGTGGTGGTCCAGTCGGTGGAGCAGTTGGTGGCACACCAGGTGCCGGCGTGGCTATAAAACCTCCAACTCCGGGTATGAGAAAGATGGCAGCCACATTTGATCCCAATTACCAAACATTAGCTGGAATGAATAATGACGATGTATTCAAAAATAAGGTTCGTTTTAAACACTAAGAAAAGGTATATAATGCTGAGATATTTGCAAAACTCCGCACCGCAAGTGTATGCGGTGGAGAACGAACACGCTCTGTTGTCCTTACTGGGGAGCAGCGCACTTCACCACCACACCATCCGGGTCCTTCGTTTTGCCTGTGTCTCAGCTAAAAAAAGGCTTTTTTTAAAATCTACTATTTGTACGTTTATGTGTATGGTGACTTACACAGTGATCAAAATATAGAACAGTTGTTAGCTCGATTGACACCACTCTCTGTGTGAATATTCCACACGGGACTTTTAGTGTGGGGTCACAAAATACAGTCTTAATTTTGTGTTTTAACCGTTTGTATGAAATTACAATAGTACAATATTAACGGTGTGACGGCATAAAGACGGGCAAAGAATGCAAATACAGCACCAAGAGCAAGAGAGAGCTGGTAGGAAGCGCTGCAGAGAGAACTGAACTGAGAGCTGACGGTGCAGCTTACATTCGCCCTAAAATAAGAGCAGTAAAGCTAGGGTAGTTGAAGGTACAGCTTGCAGAGATAGTTTGAGGAAATAATTTGAAGTGATGGTTAAAAGAGGTGGTTTGAGGAGCAGGTAGCAGAACTTTCTCTTTGGCAGGGCCATCTGATACGGCTGCTTAAACGAATAGTACAACAACCGCGAATGCTTTCGTCTGAAAAAGCTGCAAATCGGAAAGTCTACGAAAGTTTTTACAGAGGACTTTACCGTTTGGAGATGACTAAACAGTGCGAATTAAATGCATGCTCGTTGAAAAAAGGTCGTTAAAGAAAAAGATTGAGAATATTCTGTAGCTACTGAGAATGTTCTCAATAATGTGCATGATGTATTTTTCTGTTAGTACGTGTATCTATGTTTACATGGTGTGGGAGTTCTGCTCTTTTCCAGGAAACAGAATGCAAGATTGAAAACAAAAAAACGCAAAGTGAAAGGGCAAAGGGTATACAGAGGTGGAGTGATATGAAAAAGACAACATGATATTAAGAATAGGAAGTAAAGATCACAAGTAAACATAAAGAAGTATTCGCGGGTATATGCTTTAAACCTGCAGAACGCTGCTGGAGGCAGGGGCGTTGGAGGATTTGGCGGTGGCGGAGGCTTCGGCGAAGGAGTACCTCCGAAACCAGTCCCCAAGATGGCTGGCACACACGATCCGAATTATCAAACATTGGCTGGTATGAATAATGAAGATGTCTTCAAACCGAAGGTGAGCGTTTTATTTGCTGGTCTGCTATAATTTTTAGTTTCTGCGTCTGTTACTGTAAATTTCAGGAATTCGGTGCTACGAAACCACCTGCAGTAGCTCCACCTAACCCGGGAGGGCCGAAGGTGGTGGGAACTTTCGATCCCAACTATCAGACCCTTGCTGGCCTCAATAACGAGGACGTATTTAAGCCAAAGGCTTGTAACTACAAATCGCTTCGAAAGATTTCAGCGTTAAAATTGAAATTAATAAGTGGACTTCAGGCTGCCTGTGCCCCAGCAGGAGATGGAGTGCGAAAGTGGGAAACGTATTAATTTGAGAGAGAGTACTTCAATCGCAAATATGTGTACTGATTGAGTTGTAGCATTAACCTTGATTCGGATTTTCTTCATAATACTTTTCAACGCATTAACCATGATGTTAAGTATTTTGAAAAGAAAGAAATGTTGAGTTTTGGGTAATTTCAATGTCGTTATTCTTTTTTGTCAAGTGTCGGTCATTCTCTGCAATGTCGTAACAAAACTGCTGTTTGAGTGTCCAGTACCAGAAGAACGCACCAGTGAAAACAGTGCTCTCACTTTTTTGTTAAGACCATTAAGGATTGAAAAGAAGCGTGAAACATTTTTAAGCACCGTCTACTGTGTAACGAAAGCTAACTTTAACGATACTAACTGATTCGGCTTCATATAATATTCAAATGTCAACAGTTCTTCCGTTCTCACCGGTGTCTCGTTGTTTACATTCGCAAAGACGGTCGAATACAGGTGCAAGTTGAGCATCTGTGAACGGTCGGTATTTTCACTGAGATGCAGAAGGCTGCCCAAGCTGGAATCTCGAGGTTGCTCTGCTGGAGCGTTGCCAGGTCTTCACCACTGTCACTCATCGGCTTTTGTAGTTTAGATAGATGTCTACTTTTTGATGAAAATCTACGAATTGAGTTAACTGTTTCTTCAAGAAAAACCTTTTACCGAAATGACTGCGGTAGGCGCTTCTCAGTAACTAAAAAAGTCAAAATTTTCCGGAATTTCGCTACCTACGTTGATTAAATGCAGTAATAGCAAATTTGTTTGCTTGGCAACTTGCACGTACTTTGTTAAAATCTTTCTTCAGTATACTTACTTAATACTTGATATTTGAACGGTCCGTCCTGTCTAGTTGTACGGGCCCTAGCATAATCCCATTTTTTGTAGATTTGTTGGCTAAGCCATTGTGGTTTCCTGGAATCCCGAGGTCACCCTGGCCGAAGTTTGCTCCAGGTGTCCGGCATCACAGGCAGTCGCAGCTCTTGTAGATCAGAGGGAGATTTGCCACCATGCGACTTTGATACCAGGACGGCGGTGGATCCTGGTATTGCCTTACTCTTAGCTAGGCTTCCTCATGGAAACGTAGTCCTCCTTCTCAGCTTAGGAGACCCTGCTGGAGGGACGAATGGCCTCGCTGTTTATCGTGCTTTGACACCCAGGATCATCTCCGAGCGGCGATGAGGCGGCAAACCGCTGGGAGGGTTTCTGTATTATGGTTTAAATTATTGTTAAAACTTTAAGTGTCGACTGTGGCTAAGTTTATCAGACACGAAAATCTTCCAAATCCATTGCCTTTATCGTTGGTCACTTATCTAGCAAGTTATTTAAAGAAATTGCACATGGAAAGTTTTATTATTATCACCATTCTACACCATTCTTTCCTTATTTGATCAGCAAGTGACTCGTACAAACTTTAGCAATGTCACCACTTCTATTTGTCGCCTATTAGAGTAGTCTAGCCGAGTCTGCCCACTATAAGGTTTCGATGGTCGGGAAATTTCAATTTGACGATCTTCAGAATGAACGGGACTTTCGGCCTATAGTCGCGGCGGTCACTGTTTCCTACTGCTGTGCCAGCAGTTAGAACTTGAAATCAGCAGCATCTGTTAACTATCGTAACTTTCTCTTCTATGCTCTCCACTCTTTTCTTTAATTTTTCATTCATAAGGCACCATTTACCACGTTTTCCCACACCTAATCTATTCATGCTGTTGACTGAGAATTGCCTTTACGTACAGTAAAGCAGCAACCATAAGATGTTTTAAACACTTTCCTTTTACATTGACAAAGTAAAAAGAACAGGCCCCAAAAACATCAACTCGTAGCTATGTCTTAAAGCATTGTGCTCAGATCCTCTGCGTCAGACCACGGCTACCCTTGTTGATCAATTTTATTTTCGTGAACTTCATCAACGGTTGTTTCTGAGCTCCGCGTTCTTCATTCTTAGTGTTCATTCAAACTTGACTAGTTACTGTCTTTTGTAGGAGTCGCTGACAACCATTTAGGTGAAATTCTGTGGATGAAAAATATTCGATATAGTTCAGTAAGAAATAAATTTTTTTTCTTCTCAGGTGGAAAAACAATCTGGAAACGTTGCAGGTCAACATTTTATGGATTAAGGAAGTAGTGTAGTGAGTGCTAGCCAATTCCATACGTGATTCTTCGCGGATCTACAGTCTTTGTTCATAAAATGCGATAACATCCCCGAAATGTTATAGACGGCTATGAGAAGACTGAATGAAGAGAGATGCGAGGAGCTTCAATGGTCAATAGTCTATCAATCCATATTTAAAACACTTCGCATTTGAAAAATTCAGCAGCGATGAATAAATTTGGACATTGAGCATAACGATTGCTGCAAATATCTTCCAATCCTCTGAAGAGCGCACTTGCTACCATACGAGTCGTATGGAACTACGTGTCGGACCTTAAACTATTATACACAGATTCGTTATGATCTATTTTTATGACCTCAAGAAATTTGGACTTGTAGCCTTCGGTAAATAAAGATAAAGCTCTCGGCGTTGATCAATCCTTGAGGGATGCGCCATGCATTCGACTTCATCAAGCATCGTTAGAAGTAAATGAGTGCATATCTGGCCTTTACAATGACTCGCGGTAGCCTACCGCCACATCGAGTGTTGCTATCCTTCCATGCAAGTCTGGCATGATTTTATGCTCTTCACCAATTTTGCATCAAATACTTTTGCTTTCGTCAACTCTATACCGCCGTAGAGTCACAATCAAACATAAGCCTCGATCGATATACATGAAAGGATGTAAATTCGCAAGCATAAACGAACTATCAAAGCACTCTTCATTGGGTTGTTTTTATAAAATCACTTTATGGCCATAAGAAAACCGTAAAAATTATTAGCATCTGTATTTGTTATTTTAATACGTTGATCTTAATGTTGAACATGAGTATTCGTCAGAACTCCACGGTAACTACTAAATTGTTTTCCAACAAGAGAAGATTACTTCTTACTGTGGAAGGGAAACCACTAGCTAAACACTGGCCTGTAATTGATATTGTCAAAAAGAGAGTGCTGCAATTCAACACTACTGAAACTTGGTATGTTCTTGATAAGCACACATGAGGTAACGACTATGTAATATTTTTCCGCAACAGCTGACGTTTCTGTAAATTTCGCCCTCGTCAGAGGTTGGTGAGGTTAAGCAAACTGCAATCTCGTCAGCACATACTGCCGTAACCCCGGCAGAAAAATCACTATGCTTATTTTAACTTACTGCCTACTCTTTTTAATGGCAGGGTATATTGCGAAATATAACTTCAATGATGCTGAGATATTTGCAAAAATCCGGACCGCAGGTGTCTTCGACAGGGAACAAACGCACTATTGTCCTTTCCGGGGAGCAATGCGTTCATCACCACACCATGCCGGTCCTTCGTTTCGCTTGTTTCTCGGCTAGTTTTATCGATTTCTGCCATCAGCAATCACCCGTCGGCGGGATTGATCTGGAGGGCCCAAATCGCCAACGAACCCAGTTAAGCTGAGGCTAGCTAACAATAGCGCGTTCGTTCCCCACCGCAGACTGTGCTTATTTCCAATAGCAATTGGAAATCAGAAGTCAAAAATCAGATCAAAAGTCAGTTGGAAATAAAACGGCCTCTTCATACACTCACTGTTTTCTGTGGTATTCTACTAGGTTTCTTAGTTATTTAACGGGCAGTGGGAGTATATTAAATTTTCTGGAGCAAAACCGAGAGATAACTGGTTTCCATCTTTGAACGCTGAATTTAACCTTTGCGGAAACAGTTACATTATCGAATGGTTTTGGAAGCCCTTATAACAAAAATGTACTGGTTCATTAAGTTTCCTCTCATTCTCACACGTAAAAAGAGTACTTGGGAGAAACATGTTTCGAACAACTGCTAGCGTGTACGCAGAAATAGAGCACAAAGGAGAATTGCTCAGTTTGAGCGGCAAATAGCCGGTTTCTTGGAAACGAAATGGTAGCTCTTCGAGTTAGGTTTGATGAAGGAGCCACGCACCCATAGAAAATGTCTAGCGAGAACAAGGCCCTGTTTTTTCTTCTACCTTTTATTTCTAAAGAAGTAGGCGCAACTATAAAAGCTTATGTAAGTAGGACTGGTTTAGGGAAATCGGAAAAAGTGATGGGAAGATCATCGAAAACTCAAAGACGTTTTTATGGGTTTATATGCGAAACGCAAAATTGCATAATTTTCCTAACGATAGAGAGGCTGATTGCCTAAGTTCGCTCACAGTGTATCTAACCTGTTGTAAATAGCGCGGAAACGAAATGGTGGTGAATTAGTTGGACCATTTGCGCCATCTAAGAGCTCCTACTAAGGAATAGTAATTATTCAACGAATAATCAGTGGAAAACTCATAAAACGCGGTGAGCGTGCGAAAAGCTATTTTGTTTTACAATGCGATAGAAATCGAAAAAAAACAAAACAGAAAACAATGGTATTTTTTCTGTTTTGGTTGTTGAAGTGTTTGTTTAAGTGAACTGCAGTCTACTTCGGCTTTCCAAGCTCAGAACAAGCCGAAATCCATCCAACATCAGCTCTTTGTGAATAGCGAGTAAGATAACAACCTCGTGTTTGTACTTGAAGAAAAGTGGTGATTTATTTCTCAGAGGGCCCTTATTCATTTCGTTAGCAAACACTTTCTGTTTTAGCTCTGCTTACCCGGATTTCTTAAACATTTAATAGCTGCACTTACTTCTTCACAAATAAATGTCAGGCTAAGCAGGGCGTTCATTCGGCAAGAGATATCGTTTGTAGTGGTGGTGCGTTTTCTCTCCAAGGCCTTGCTTCTTCAACCCACTGCCTGAGCACGTATTAGTAGCTGTTGCAAACAAGCTTCCCGCAAGCACTCAGATTGCGTGTGAAGGGCGAGAAGGGGAGCTCGGTAAGTTAATTTGCAAGACAGAAAATGGAGGCCTGTTTTTCTACAGTTTCTCCTACGTGAATTTGACGTAATTCGACTCTTCATTTTGCAATGAAGACCTATACTCAT